TGCAAATTTTCCCACATCGTGACGTAGACATGTGGGGGCGTGTTTAAAAGAGGCGTTTTAGGTAGGTGTGGTTGACTCTTAACTTTTATAAAGAATATCTCTTTGGATTTGAGACTTTAGTCTTTGCAATTTTACAGACCTTCTTTATGCACCAAGAGCTTGTAACACTCCAAAGAGAAAGGAAAAATTGAAATTGCATCATATGACCCCTTTAATCCAGATAATTCCACAGTAATGACATCCAACAGCTGACACATTTTGCAGGTGTGACTGAATTTAAACATGATAGGAATTGTTCATTAATTTGTATGCTGTTAATTGTTGAACAAATGAATCTTTTAAACTGGTTGTTTTTAGTGAATGAAAAACATACAGCACAACTAATGAAGTTGGATTCACAAACAAATGACTCTTTTTAGCGAATCAAAAACAGACCAAACAATCAGTGAAGTCTGATTCACGAGCAAATGACTTTTATGAGCCTATCCTTGTAATAAATAATTCAAAAAGACTCAAAAACTTCCTATACCATTTCATGGATGTTTTAAAAATGTTTACATTTCCAAAATTGGAAGTTTTTCATTTTAGAATAATTCTGCACATAATAGTCGATGTCTAACACAAGAAATTCAATTTAAAAATGGTATCCACTTTACAGATTGTACTCTTCAAATTTCTACTTTTGTGTTCCACAGAAAAATAACAGCATACAGGTTCGAAACGACACAAGGATGAGTAAATAATGGCACAACTGTCATTTTCAAGAGAACTATCTCTGTACTTTCAGATCAATTAGGTAGATAAGGCACACACACACACACACATATATATATATACATAGTATCTTACTGGGAACCCTAAAATAGATGTCCTAAGATATCAAACCTGTCACTAGGATCGCCGTAGGCTCTGTAAACATCAAATAGCAATCTGTAAACTTAAGGTGCCTCTCTGTCTGTCAGTCATTTTTCACATTCAGGGTGAGCTGACATATCTGACTACTCAAGATAAATAACATAGTCCTACTTCAATGTTAGCCTTCAGAGAAATTAATTAGCACTAAAAAACACACATCACGGACATCATAGTAAACCCTTACAAGAAAGCCTTCCTGTTGTTTCTCGACCTCCTGCATGGAATTAATCTTTAAAATTAGTCACCGGCCCTTCAGGAAACTCAATTAGTGTTCTATCTAACTTAAGTAATATCTCTAAAGCCCCAATGTCCATCTTCTGTCTCAACAGATCAAAGGTGAGTATGAGGTCTGCTCTGAGGTTGTTTTGATCTGAGCTCATCTGAAGGCTGGAATACACCACATGACTTTTAAAATCTGTACAGAACACTAGGCATCATACACTTTCGGATTTTGTAAATGGTTGAAAATGGAGAAAAACTGGCCATCATATACCAAACGACTCGGGATAGCACACCGAACACAACAAAATCTCACAGAAACATGCGCCTCATTGTTAGTGTGTGACATATTAAAAAGAAAAAGTAATTTGCTAGTTAATATGACTATATGTTCTTATTTCAGTAAAAAAGAACTGGTTTAAAAGTTTGTGAATTAGACTACTCTGGTTGCTATGTATGTTTTTGATTTACTCAAAAGAACTGATTTAAAATAATAATTTGTTCATGAATCAGACTACACTGGTTGTGCTGTCTGTTTTTGATTTACTAAAAAGAACCATTTTTAAAGAGTCTTTGTTTGTGAATCGGACTATACTGTTTGTGCTATGTGTTTTTGATTCAATAAAAAGAACTGGTTGAAAAGAGTCAGTTAGTGAATCAGACTACGCTGGTTGCTTTGTATGTTTGCGATTGACTAAAAGAATAATTTTAAAAGAGTAATTTGTTTGTGAATCGGGCTATACTTTTTGTGCTGCATGTTTATGATTCAGTAAAAAGAACTGGTTTAAAAGAGTCATTTATTGGTGAACCAGACTACACTGGTTGCTTTGTGAGTTTTTGATTCACTAAAAAGAACCATTTTAAAAGAGTCATTTGTTAGTTAACCCATTTGTGCCCAAATTTTTCTGAATGGTTTCATGCATATAGTCATGTTAATAGTGTCCTATGTGAACATGTTCTGCATTTATTTTCCCCAGGTTTTAATTTTTTTTCTTGAAAATCGTATTTGAATGTGCGGCAACTATAGTTGCCGGTGGGCAAATATGTTGTATGCAACCCTTCAATGTCAAGTTTGAATAGGAGGAGAGCTTTTGGCATCTAACTCATAATAACTGCTTTCAACAGATCAATCTTTATTCATAAACAAATTTATTATGCATTAAAGTCCAAGAACATTCGATGCAAACCCAAAAAAGGCTGCATCTAGCTTATAATCTCTTGAATATGAAAACATAACAAATCCATTTGTCTTAAAGTGGTGGAACATAGTGCAGAACAAAGTGCAGCCATTAGGTTGCCCCAACAGGGTATTGTGTATGAATTTATGAAAATAAATAAATAAAAATAAATAGAATGAAGAAAATATTACATCTATATAAGAAAATTATGCATTTAACTGTTTGATTACCAACATTCTGCAACATATCTTCTTTTGTACTCAACAGAAGAAAGAAACTCATAGGTTTGCAACTTGAGGGTGACTAAATGATGACACAATTTCCATTTTTGGGTGAACTTTCCCTTACGTAAGCAGTGAAGGTACAAGTAGTTTTATACATTTACATAAACATATTTGCATGCTATACTTTGTGATGAAAATATATAAAATATCACATTTTTTATGAATAGGCACATATTGATTAGGTCAAATGGATTAATCCTGACAAAAGTCCTTGATATTCATGAAATTAATGATACTATTTTTTTAAATATATGCTTATTTAAATAATTATCATGTGTATGCTACACCCATGATTGTTTGTTTATTTATTTACTTATTATTGAACATGCAGGTATTTTCATTCTTAGAGGTGTTAGTTAAATGAAAATAAATAGAATGAAGAAAATATTACATCTATATAATAAAAATTTAAATATATGATTATTTAAATAATTATCATGTGTAGGCTACACCCATGATTGTTTGTTTATTTATTTACTTATTATTGAACATGCAGGTATTTTCATTCTTAGAGGTGTGTTAGTTAAATGAAAATAAATAAATAAAAATAAATAGAATGAAGAAAATATTACATCTATATAATAAAAAAGGTATACCTGAAAGAAAATTATGCTTTTTTTTAAGGCCCAAAGTATTCAATGGCTTACTGTAGTCGGTGATTTCATATAATAATGTAAATGTAAACTCATTACTTGTCTGAATTTCAACATTATAATGGAATCATAAGTCATAAAAAGAATTAGGGTCCTTGACCAATTAGAAGGAAATGCATCCAAACTGGATAAAGGGGCCTCAATATTTTGCCCCTTACAAGACATAATGTCATAAAAGGGAGAAAAAGATAATCTACAGCAATTAATCCCATGCGCTAGCTCTTTATCTTTCCATTCTTCCTTTTGTGTGACTGATGGAAGTTTGTAAACTGCTGCTGTCACTTGAAAGCTGGAAATTCCCACCCCCCGTGGCAAAAGCAGACACAGAAGTGGGGCAGTAGAGCTGTGGAAAGATTGCTTTCTCATCTCCTCCTTTTGACAGATTTATTCCTATCAAATTAAGGTCTACTGTACAGTAGAGATGACAGTTAAAGGGTTAAGTTAGGTTTTAGGTGGGATATTATGAAAGAAAAAGCACTAAACAAGACCAATAACCTTGATTTATTAACCTATTAACACATTTCCCCATGATATGTACTTACAAGTCATTTGCCCACCGGCAACTATAGTTGCTGCTTGGACTTTTGACTAAGTATACAAAAAACTATAGATTTAGAACTATAGAACTATAGATCTCCTGTAAGATTTGTTTTGTTTGGATGATTCTAGAGACCTTCATGAGGTCATACTTATTAGTAACATGAAAATTAAATTTCTTTGGGAGGGTTTGCCTTCGCCATGCTTCCTGGAAGTAGGGGTAGGAACTTGACAGCCTCATGTGACAGGAAGGAAGTGAATACCTTTCTTTTTTCTTGAAATCCTTTATTTGGTTGTTTTCTTGCATGTCATTGAGAAATAAAACATGGATAACATCTAGAAAAATACTTACAAAAGGAAAATGACAACTATAAACTGCGGCAACTATAGTTGCCGGTGGGCTTAAATGGGTTAATTGGACTACAACAGTTGCACTGTATGTGTATGATTCACTAAAAAGAACCGTTTGAAAAGAGTCATTCGTTCGTGAATCGGACTGTACTGTTTGTGCTTTGTGTTGTTATTATTCAATAAAAAGAACTGGTTAAAAGTCATTTGTTTGTGAACTACACAGGTTGGTTTTTATGTTTTTGATTCACTAAAAAGAACCATTTTAAAAGAATCATTTGTTAGTTAATCGGACTACACTGATTACACTGAATGTTTTTAGTTTAAAAAAAGTACCAATTGAAACAAGACATTTGTTTGTGAATCGGACCGTACTGTTTGTCCTGTGTGTTTCTGATTCAATAAAAAGAACAGACTGAAAATATTAATTTGTTCATGAACTGGACTATACTGTTTGTGCTGCATGTTTTTGATTCACTAAAAAGAACCAATCAGAAAGAGTCATTTGTTCGTGAATCACACACTAAATGTATCAACTCCCAAATGCCGAAAACTGCAGACTGGTTCTGATTTTTGGCAACTATAGCGTCAACACGTCCAGACTGAAAATCTGGGCAAAAATCATGTCTTGTATTCCAGCCTTAGTAAGTTTATGCATGCTGTGTTTGTGTTTAGGCTGTGTTGTGCTGATAGCGGGCTGAATAACCTGGAAGGAGCCCAGACACAGCTCGATGCAAAGCCGCAGGCTCACGTTGAAGTAGTCTGGGAGAAAGCTGAAGACCATGTAATGAGTGCCGAAGAGAGGGATGAGGAGGAGGGTGGACTTGGTCAGTCGCCTGAGGGGAGGAGAGATAAAGGATGAAGAGGAGGAAGGGTAAGAGTGTTATTGGGCAGATTAGTGCTGGGAGATTCTGGTGAGTGGACTTTATGGATTCAAACGAGTAAGAACATGATAAGGCATGACTTCAGACAACATTGTAAAGGTCAATTTTCACTCACCCTGTCGTTCCTAATCTGCATGCTGTTAATTTTTGCATGTACAAAGAAAGTGAATAGCGACAGATGCTGTGAAATCTCCAAAAAGGAGCAGAGAGCATTGTAAAAGAAACATTAAAGTAGTCTTTTTGACTTGTAGGCTGTACTTTGTGAGAAAAATCCTGCACATTCAGACTGGTCACACAATATGCAAGAAACCATGTCGTTTTGGCATCAATGATGGATGAATGCAGCATGAGATATATCAAGCAATTCACTTCCGTTGTCTTCTGTGGAAAAATAAAAAACAACAGCATGCTGCCGGTAATAAAATAATGACAATTTTCATTTTAGTGTGAACTGTTCCTTTATTAATTTGTGTCCTCTGTATTTGCACACTGATGTGAATATTCTTGAATGCATTATAAATACTGTGAGTAATGTTGTATTTATATCTTCCAGTAATATAATTTCTTGTGTTTGTATTGTTCTTCATACAGTATGTGAGCCAGATAAAAATGAATATGTAAGAATGTAAACATATCTGCAGTGATTATTATAATTGCTGATTTTAAAACACAAATGAAAAATGTATTATTTATTTATAGAACCATCATTCTGAGCTTAAAGGGAAAGTTCGTCCCAAAAAAAAATGGAAATTCATCTTCTCACACTCCAAACCTATGATTTTCTTTCTTCATAGAATACAGAGGTTTAGTTGCTTTTTTTCATAAAACAAATCTGTATAAAGAACTGTTGCATAAACGTAGTCTATATAACTTGTCCACAATATAAGTCTTCTGAAGTCAACTTTGTGTGAAATTGAAAGTTTATTCACTAAAATTTAATGGCAAAAATCTTTTTAATCATATTGGGTGAGCTATTCCTTTAAATATAGATATTTTGAGGTCCCTCAATGTTAAATATATTAAAATTTCACTCACAGATCAATGAACTCGCTGTGTTTTTCTATATTAGCACCACTGCACACAGTTTTAATGCAAAACCATCAAATAATCTGACAGAAACTCTTAAAAACACAGATCCCAGAGAGTGTAGCTGTCATTCACAGGCCTGTGTGACATCTGCATATGTAGGAGTATGAATATAAACACAACAGCAGCAAACACTCATTTTTGCCAAAAACAAAGAGCCTCTTCATGATAACACCATTAACAGGCCACATAACCAAGCACATACACACATCTCTCTCCAGATATTGTGTATGAGCCTTGCAATGTACTAGAAGTCATCCTCTGACACCTGGATGTAAAAACAGTATTGAAATTTGATTATGTTGCGTTGCTTGGCAACAGCCTACAGTTTGGCTATATGAACTGGCGGAAGATTTGTTTATTGTGATTTTTGTTATCATTAAAACTGTTTCAATCGATACAGTTCAGACTTCTTTCAAAACCTTAAAAAAAATCTTAATTATTCAAAACTTTTGATCACCAGTATATATAAATAAAGAAAAAGAAAGCTCATTCAAAATATAATAATTCAAAAATAACTCCGCTTGCGGGTTATCTATTAAAATACCTAAAATAGCAAAAGCAATCTTATTTCCAGTGGTTGTCATAATCACCAGTGCTGCTATCTGCAGGTCTCTATGGGGGGATGTAAGTACAGTAGAAATGCTTTAGAGGCTGAAAGAACAAAGGCACGGCACTTAAGAGAATCACACTTCCATCAGCCGCAGTGGCTAAAAATGATCAAAGGATCCTTACAGTGACAATGACGTGTCGAGTCCACAACAATCTCCTTCAGCGGCATTCTGGGAACTGTGAGCTTTGCTTCAGCTGTACATCTGTAGTGCTTATCCATGGATCTCAAAGTCTCGCTCCATGCATTTCATTACCACATCCCTGGAGTTCTTGTGTGTTTACGGGATATAAAAGAGCCAATATAATAATTCAAAAATAACTCCGCTTGCGGGTTATCTATTAAAATACCTAAAATAGCAAAAGCAATCTTATTTCCAGTGGTTGTCATAATCACCAGTGCTGCTATCTGAAATATGCCGAAGTTCTAAAACGACTAAAACTGATAAAAAAAATAAATTAAAGCTAAGTAGAAATATTCAATATAAAAAAAAAAATGTGAAAAGTACATAAAGGAATTAAAATAAAATGTTTATTAAAACTGCAAAAAAAATGTATTCAAAATATCAATAAATCCTATAATTGTATACAAATACTAAAATAACACTGCTACAGTATAATATTTGAGGAATATGTTAACATTAGTTCATGCATTCTAAACTGGAATGAACTAACAATGAACAATAGTATATTTAAAAACTAACATTGCCTTTAAGTTCATAATACCTAATGCATTTAATAGTAAAGTTGATGTATTGAACCTATGAATTTGTTAGGCTTATTGTAAAGCTCCCATCACTTGAGCCACGCTATCCCACAATCCTCCACGCAGACCTGCCGCTCAGCTCCCATAGAGAATGAATGGGAGAAAAGTTGAAAACACCCCACTCATGCATTTACTGTCCCGTTTTTGATATCCCTGCGCATGGGTTTGTGGTGTTGCCTTGATTTCTGTACCTGTACTGAGCCGAATTGTTGAACTGGATCAAGCGAGGGTTCAGTTTCTGCACCAGAATCCTGATAATGTTCATGAACAGAAAGAAGTTCACCTGGTTGGGAAGGAAAACAGGAAAATATGAGCTGAAAATATCTGTGTGTGAGCCAAATTCATTAATCCGTGTCCTCATGCTTTATCTCACCCCTATAGACACTACAATAGGACCCTTGATGATCCACCAATAAGGAGAATCTTCATTTATGTCCCAACACCTGAAAAAACAACAACAACAAAGGCCTGGATAAGACAGAGCTGATTCAAATCTGTAGTTTTTCTTCTCTCAATCCACAATCCACTAAAAGACTCATTTCCTGTCTGATGTGAGCGCAGAGCAACTGTGGATCTAAAGAGTGAAATAATAAACACTCAACTGCTCTCAAAGATCATATGACCAGGTAAAAGGTCATTCAAGTCATTCTGAACTGTTTTTGTACTTAAACTATAGATCTTAAACACAACAGCAGCAAACACTCATTTTTGCCAAAAACAAAGAGCCTCTTCATGATAACACCATTAACAGGCCACATAACCAAGCACATACACACATCTCTCTCCAGATATTGTGTATGAGCCTTGCAATGTACTAGAAGTCATCCTCTGACACCTGGATGTAAAAACAGTATTGAAATTTGATTATGTTGCGTTGCTTGGCAACAGCCTACAGTTTGGCTATATGAACTGGCGGAAGATTTGTTTATTGTGATTTTTGTTATCATTAAAACTGTTTCAATCGATACAGTTCAGACTTCTTTCAAAACCTTAAAAAAAATCTTAATTATTCAAAACTTTTGATCACCAGTATATATAAATAAAGAAAAAGAAAGCTCATTCAAAATATAATAATTCAAAAATAACTCCGCTTGCGGGTTATCTATTAAAATACCTAAAATAGCAAAAGCAATCTTATTTCCAGTGGTTGTCATAATCACCAGTGCTGCTATCTGCAGGTCTCTATGGGGGGATGTAAGTACAGTAGAAATGCTTTAGAGGCTGAAAGAACAAAGGCACGGCACTTAAGAGAATCACACTTCCATCAGCCGCAGTGGCTAAAAATGATCAAAGGATCCTTACAGTGACAATGACGTGTCGAGTCCACAACAATCTCCTTCAGCGGCATTCTGGGAACTGTGAGCTTTGCTTCAGCTGTACATCTGTAGTGCTTATCCATGGATCTCAAAGTCTCGCTCCATGCATTTCATTACCACATCCCTGGAGTTCTTGTGTGTTTACGGGATATAAAAGAGCCACTTTTGCATAACATCCTGTCCTGTCTACTTCAGTACTATAAGATATTATTTGTAAATAATTTGACCTTACAATGATTTTCTATATGAACTTACTATATTTTTGCAGCATTTATTAATGTTGGTTAATGTTAGCATCCAAAGATATTACTACATTACAGTTAAAATTGTTAGTAAAACTAAAACTATTAAAAAGTATTTTCGGTAATTAAGTTGAAATCAAATAAAACATAAATATTAGATGAAACACTTATATTAGAAACAAATATGAGAAATGTTGCCCTGGCAACTAACTGAAATACGCTGAAGTTCTAAAACGACTAAAACGGATAAAAAATAAATTAAAGCTAAGTAGAAATATTAAATTTAAAAAAATGACAAAAGTACATAAAGGAATTAAAATAAAATTTAAATTAAAACTGGAAAAAAAATCTAATTCAAAATATCAATAAATCCTATAATTGTATACAAACTGTTACTAAAATAACACTGGAATGAACTAACAATGAAATAAACACATTTCATTACACCAAATACACAAAATAATGTTCTTTTTAGCAGCATCATATGACCCCTTTAAGGCATTAGTGAAAGGGAATCTTTCAGAGAGCGTTCAACGCAACTCTGTAAAAAAACAAAAACATAATAATAAAAAAAGCACAGATAATAAACCTAGAAGCTATTATTTTCAATGATGATCATGATAATGGCACTGCATGTAGAATAAGTCAGTTTGATGCAGACTTTATTCAGTGATACCCAGACAGAAGCACATTAAAAGAATCAGAGCTATGCTGTATGAAATATAAAGTGCCTTTTAGTTAAATTACCAAAAGTTTGGCAAAATTCAAAATTAATATTTTAAGCAATTATGAAAATAAGCTTAAACGTTTATGGAAATTATACAGCATTTAGACAGTGTTCATTAAGTATTAAACATTTGCACAAGAAAACATCAATTTCTATCTAAAAAATTAAAAAAGAGGGAGCTGATATCTTAAATATATTCATGAAATGCAGTTTGCAACCTCTTCAACTTTCCAAAATGTGATTCAAAAGTATGTGAAGCAGAGAAAAAAAAAATGTAGGACTTGATTTAATCCTCCAGGAATTGACTGGAAGCATTATACACCAGAATGTATCTCAGATTAAAACTAAAAATAATTCTTTAGAATAACATGCGCTGATCACTGACAATAAAACTGATAGTTCGCAATAAAACCGGGAACAGGTATAAGAACAAGAGCATCGACAATGTCATTTGAACTGTTTGTTCTTTCAATTGTCTGTTCAAATCAAAAACGATAGAAATGCCATTCACATAAATTGTTCTGACACTTCTCAGCCCTCCCCGTGTAACAGAGACAAGGAAAGGAGAGAGAGAGACAGAGAAATATAAATGGAAACTGAGAAACAGAAGGATCATGCTGTACTTCACTGATTGGAGTGACTGAGACTGTAATAGCTGCTAACATAAGAAAAATAATAGGTTTCAGAAATACACATCATAATGTACAGTCAGTAATGTAATGGTCATTATTGCAAAAATAAAACCCTAGACTGATCATGATGTGACACAGAGCACATTATTCTTTACATACATACTGTATACTTCCATTCAAATTATTAGAGTGGTTAAAATGTTTTAATGTTTTAGTCTTTTATGCTCATCAAGGATGTATTTATTTAATCAAAAAATAAAGTAAAACAGTAATATTGTGAAAAAATTACTACAACTTAAAATAACTGCTTTCTATTTTAATATATTGTAAAATTTATTTCAGTGATGCAAGGCTGAATTTTCAGCATCATTACTCCAGTCTTCAGTGTCATATGATCCTTCAGAAATCATTCTGATATGCTGCTCTGCTGCTCAACAAACCTTTATTATTATTGCTGAAAACTGTTGATTAATATTTTTGTGGAAACCATGATACATGTTTTTTTTTTCAGGATTCTTTGATGAATAGAACGTTCAAAAGAACAGCATTTATTTGAAATTTGACATTATAAATGACTTTATTGTCACTTGTAATCAATTTAATGAATTCTTGTTGAATAAAAGCATTCAATTATTATTATTATCAATGTTGAAAACAGTTGTGTGTATATATACCATTTGAGTATCCTGACACTGCAACACTCACTCAACCAATAGCATAAGTTTGGGGCGGGACTATGTGTAAATTTGACCAATGGCAGGTGGGATGTGTTGGGGATGGGATGTGTCATTATTTTTGCCATTTCATTTGGTCTTTGGTGACATTTTTTGGTCACACCGCAACTATAACCATAATGACACAGAAGAATGATATCGTTGGATTTTTTTCCAGCTGATAAACAATAAATACATTGACAGCCAATCAGAATCCACCCTGCTTTAAAGGGGTCCTATTATGCTCTTTTACAAAGTCTTGATTTTGTTTTGGGGGTGTACTAGAACAAGCTGTCATACTAGGTTGTTTGAAAAACACATTATTTTTCACATATTTTACATTATTACAACACCTCTCTCCCCAGTCTGGCGAGAGTAGTTCCTGTGTCAAATGAAGGCCCGCCTTCTGAAATACAAAATGTGCTGTGATTGGTTAGCTGGGCCAGTGTGTGTTGTGATTGGTTAGCTGGGCCAGTGTGTGTTGTGATTGGTTAGTCAAAATCAAATCAATTTGAGCGCGATTTAAACCCGGATGATTGTAACCACTCTAAGTTCATCTGCCTTGGGAAAGCTAGCTTGTCTCCGACGTAGTAATAACACTCGTTGCCTTTTCTAGAGCAGCTCAACCAGGTCTCATCCCATTCGTCGATATTTGTGATATCACAAATCCCGGAAAATATGCGTTGTAGTCCAAACGAGTCGTTCGTTGTAGTTTTTGAAAAGTGATTTCTGTTAAATAAAATATCTCCTTTTGAAGTGGACTTTGAGCTTTGTAACTTTGCAAATCTTTTTTATGCTCAAACAGCAACATTACAGACTAACTAAAGTTGAAAAAGTGAAAAAGCATAATAGGACCCCCTTTAAAAGAGCTTGAGCATTTAAAGTGACAGACGACAAAACTGCAACGCACTTATAATAAACACAATATTATTGTACGTTGGTGTGGACATTAATATAGTCATCGTTATAGTTATCTATATACCTATCATTCTTGGTTTGAACAGTTACAAAAATAATATCAGGACAACAAACTAAATTTCATTTTTCCCTTTTTGTTCCTTTAATAACTCACATTGTCTACACTAGTAGATGAACCTCATTTGTGATGGCCAGAGGAAAGAGTGTGAGAGAGGACAGGGACAGATATGAGCGTCTCACCCCAGCCCAGCAGAGCGAAACTCCAGAGACAGCGGCGGCTGCGCGGGAAGGCCGAGACCAGCAGAAAGTTCAGATACACGGCTTCAACCAGCAACCAGAAGAAATTAGTCATTATGCAATAATGACAAAATACCACCGACGCCTTACAGGCCGCCTGCGGAGAGAGAGAGAGGAAGAGATAGAGAGAGATGCTGAGAATGATAAACAGGGCATGACGGCAAAAAAACAAGAGAGGAAGAAATAAACAGATGGAGAAAGCAGAAACTCAGCGGGAAATAAAGGAAGGTGAAAAATAAATGCAGCTGGAAGTTATCAAGGAACTTTCCATAAACAGGGCACAAAATAGAGTCTAATAAACTCTTAATTCATTTTTAATTACTTTTTTTCTTTTTTTTAAATAAAAAGGTGCTTTTTCAGACCTTCAGTTAAGCTCCAATAATTCAAATAAATACAGTTCTGTTCAAAAGTTTTAGCTCAGTAAGATTTTTTTTTAAATCAAATCAATTAAAAATTGTATTCAGCAAACACGCATTAATCAAAATGTACAGTAAACTGACAGTAAAGACATATTGTTACAGAAGATTTATATTTCCAATAAAAGCTGTTCTTTTGCTTTCTATACATAAAAGGATCCTGAAAAACAATGTATCATGGTTTCCACAAAAATATGAAGCAGCACAACTGTTTTCAACATTGATAATAATCAGAAATGTTTCTTGAGCAGCAAATCAGCATATTAGAATGATTTCTGAAGGATCATTTGATACTGAAGACTGGAGTAATGATGCTGAAAATTCAGCTTTGCATCACAGCAATAAATTACATTCTAAAATAGATTCAAATAGAAAACAGTTATTTTGAATTGTAATAATATTTCACAATATTACAGATTTACTGTATTTTTGATCAAATAAATGCAGCCTTGATGAACCTAAGACACTTCTTTCAAAAACATAAAAAAATCTTGAAGCCCCCAAACAGTATAGTGTATCTTAAATATTATGATTTTGGGACTTAAGTAAATTTAATTGTTGTTTTTTATTTTTGTCCTGTATCTTCTGATTGGCTGTGATTTTATGGCATCATGCATCAGTTTTTTGTTGTCACATCATGCCTGGCTACACAATATAAGGCAACATCGCATACATCCTTCATGGAGAAAGCAATCCCAGAATGCACTGTGACAACTGACAAGATGGTGAATGGAGTCAAGAGAAATGTCAAATATAAATACAGTTACGACGACTTAAAAAAAAAAAACCTGTCACACATCCGTTGAGTCATTTGAGTCACAAGTGGAGAGTGTGAAGTCAGTCAGGTTTGTACAGTACTTTTGACAGGAAAGGCTGTCAGGACTGTGGTGTTGATGAACTCACTGTAGAGAGTGTGCAGTGATCTGTGTCGTCACTGGAGAACAGCGTGGCATCTTTGATAAACACAGCCACCGATTTCAGGATGAAGGTGAAAAACAGCTGCATGTGGATGTAGTTTCGAGCACAGTGTAATCGCCTACAGAATACAAACAACAGGTCAGTTCTTTCATTTTAAAGAACACAGTTTTTGAACAATGTTTGAAAATTATTTAAAGATGTATAGCCAGTGTCAGGTTTATGTAAAAAAAAAAAAAAGTAGCTAGATATGCTAAAATTACTCACAAAATAGACTAAATATATTAAAGCAGTCCTTTTTTTTTTACAATAACTTTCAGGTTATGTGAGTGGATTCTGTGTTTAGGTTTGGAATTTTTTTTTTTTTGTTCATCAATAAGAACGCATTATAAAGGCACAGTACCTGAAGAGCAGCAGTATTGCCACGGCAACAGAGAGCGACAGCAGTGATGCTCCATAACCAACAGTGTAGATCAGTTTCACAGTGGCAAAATACGACTCCTGAGGGACAAACAAGCAGAAATCAATTACATCTGAATGACCATGTTCAGGACACAGAGTCTGTTTGAATACAATAAACATAATTTTCTGGATAAAGGGGTAAATCAATGAATGTGCACATCAATCAACCAAAAAATGCATCATTATTTGATCCAATGATAAATGAATGAATGAATAATAATTTGAATCAGACAGACAAAATTATGAAAGCCTAAAGCCTGTTTATACTATTAAAAATTTTTTTTTTTTTTTTAAATGTAAGTAAAAGTTTACTCTTGCCTTTTTAGAGCATCACCGAAACACTATTTTCTTGTTTATCACTGTAAAGTTGCTTTGCAACAATCTGTATTGTAGAAAGCGCTGTATAAATAAAGGTGACTTGAATTGACACGACTAAAAAAAATTTAATTTTTAAAACATTAAATATAAAAAATAACTGAATAAATGTTACTAGATTAAAATTAAGTCAATTAAACTATTTTTTTTATTTTTTATATTAACTTTTATAAAATGTATTTCTATATTAACTACATGTACTTATTTCATCATAAACTTAAAAACTATAAGCCAACTATAAACTATAAGTGAGAATTATGGCAGACAGACATAATTGTGAAAGCCTATAACCTGTTTATTCAGAAAAAAATAAAATTCAAATTCAAATAAATCTAGTAAAATTTGATAGTTTAATCTTCAGTGAAAAATAAAATAAAATAATATTATGATTAAATTAAATATAAAGTATAGTATAAGTAATATTGAGTTCAATAAATGTTACTAGATTTAAATTCAGTCAGTAAAATGATTTAGTCATTATTATTACTATTGTGAAATATTTATTAATTTAGTAATTACAATTAATGTATTAATCTATTTATAAATTAACTAAATTTATTTATTTCAACAAAATTAAAAACCCAAAGTTGGTTTGAGTTCATATTGAGATTCTTGACTGTGTCTTTACAAATCTGAGACATTCTTCTGAAACTAGAGGAGGTACATATGAGATTACTGAGGTCTTTTTCTAGGAAGAACAACCTGAAAAGCAAGACATTTAAGCAAATGTGTATGGATAAAGTGGAAATAATTATCAAATATATGCAAGTATGAATTTCAGAGTATGTCTGACCTCTGGGATCTCGTCCTCAACACTGCAGGCCTCATGGTAAGCAGGGAACGGATGTGACCAGCCGCCAGCCGTGCAGTTACGACTCACTATCCCTAGAGTAATCCATTAAAGGTCAAAAGGTCAATGACAATAAGGCAAGGCATTCTCTGCAAGCTTTTCAAAAAAAGGTTTACATATGCTAATACGGTCACCCACCGGCACCTTCAAAATAAATGCATACATGCAAGTTGGCATTTCATGTGGTTTGTATTGACTTTTTTTCTAGAGAATGAGATGCAATGCATAAAATTAGCTTGTGCTAAAGCTGAATGTGAAATGAAGTCGGTTTCCTTTTCTGCACAAGACAGAGATACAAGGATGTAAGGATTTGAATGCAGTGTTGGTTGGTCGGGCTTAGACCAGGTTTAGTTTGTTATACTGCTGGATCTGTGGAGACTTTGAAAAGGTACTGCAAATATGAAAGCCTTTTTTGCTCAAACTTACAAAGCCTTGAAATCGAGGCTGTGCATTTTACCATTTGAGGTTTCAATTCATATTCTCAAGGTAAATGTGTATTGTTAAAGCCCACAGACTGAAACCAACTGGTTTGCTCGCAGAAGCTGTTAATGTGGAAATGCATGTATGGAGTAGGGTTGAGCAAACTCTCTTTCTATTCATTAAATAGAAACATTTCTATTTCTGAAATCCAAACAGCCAACCAATATTCTGTTCCAGACATTTCAATGTATTTTTACATAACCAATGTGGCCAATTACATTCTGTTATGGGTATTTAATTAAGTGCTTTCACCGCCAGCCGAAAATTTTTTAATTTTGCCAAACAGCATCACATAATGTCCACAACATTATTTTTAATCATTTTCAACTAATAAAAATGGTCCATTAAATTAAAGTTAGTTTATTAAGTACAATTAAATATGGGGAAATTTATACTAATTTCTCTAGATACTGTAGCATCCCAAATGTTGTTTATAAAAAATAATGCAATGTTTTAATTCAATGCTGTATAATTAAAAACAAGCATGGATAAGGCATAATGAAAAATTAAATATTTTTATTTATGAGATAATACCGTTATATGAAATGTTACATCTCAAGTGTTACAATTCAATGTTTTAATGTAATTCTATATAATAATGTGCATGGATAATTCACATTGAAAATTTTTTTTTTAATTGGTTATTAATATAATCCAATGTTTTAATTCAGAATTAAATATTTGAATTGAACAAATATTGGTGTGTGAATTGTTATCTGAAATGTCAGTTATTAATATAATAACAATATGCATGGATACTCCATGTTAAAAAAATTTTTTTTCATTTTAATGAATCAAATAATATTGGTACATCAACTTCTTTGCTCTTAGATTGTTATTAATAAAATCCAATGTTTTAATTTATTCATAATGAAATCTATACAAGATACATACACACACACACACAAAATGAAATGATTTTTTTTTAAAATTATTTACCAAACAATGTTATATGAATTATTATATCTCAAATGTTGGTTATTAATAAAATAATAATGTGCATGAATACTTTACATTAAAAACATTTATCATATTATCCTGGTGCATTAATTTCTTTTTATTTCAAACCTATTTATACATGAACTTCAATTTAAATTCAGATTACAATTATGCATCCTGTTTGCCACTTTTACCTAATTCACATTCATGTACTGAACTTTTAAATTCAGTTTCGAATCATGCACAAGTCTGATGTGGACGGTGTGGTTGTGTGTCGTACCCGTGTTGTTCTTGATGACAGAGAAAACAGCAGGACAGGGCAAGTGGATCGTCTCACCCACTGCAGCCCTGGGCCAACATACTACTGAATCCCATACTGGCAGACAATCTTCACAACACACACACACACACACGAAGAGCATGTGTTTATACAGTAAATACCCATGCACTCAAGCACCATCTGACAGGCTATCTGTGGCATGTAACAGCTAGAAATTGCTATATAAACGTCCAGTTTTCCACATTGGATTGGCACAAGTACATCTGTGCATGCCAATCCCCTGCAAAGCCGCTGCCAAACACGACTTCACTTCTGTGATCCACTGGGAAACACAAACGCAAGGCGCTGCATTACAATGAGTCTGATCTTGTACTAAACTCTGTCTCTGAATGTCACCACTGACAGCTTATGGCAGTGTTAAATGCTATGCAGATGTGATTTATTTTAAATGACATCTCATGGGTTTGTGACCTGTTTTCGTGTCATTTAAAATAAAAAAATGTAGAGTTTAAAAGTCAAAAAGTTAAAACGCTTGACAGGAGAAATTACTGATGATGTTATGGTTTAAAATATTTGTTTTAGAAATAATACAGAAATAAAAAATATAGTAAATCTTTTTACAGGAGCAGAATTTCCAGTTTGGGGTCAGTTTTTGCAAGATTTAATAAAGTATTTTGAAAGAATTTAACGTCAGTAAAGACATTTGTCAATGTTACATAAATTACATTTTAAAATATATTCAAATAGAAAACAGTTCATTTAAAATGTAATGATATTTTAGTAAATTTTTGGTCAAATAAATGCAGAGCACATTTAAAAACATTTGAAAAAATCTTACCGACCCCAAACTTTTGAATAGTCATATAATAGTCCTGGATAAATCTGAGAAATGTTTGAGTTTATATTGAGATCTCTGACTTCTGATTGCAGAACACAGTTTCTGAGGAGAAAAATCTGAGAAGCAGGATGCCTAAACAAAAGTCTCCATTTGCTCTCAATTGAAACTCAGCGCTCTTTAGCATGCTTCTCACATCCTAAGGGTAAAAACCCCTTCAACATCTAATCAGGAGCGTCTGTTTATTTCTACCTGAGGAGCTGCTGAGGTTCCCAAGATCTGTGATCTCTCTGAGACACTGCTGTTCATCTCTTGCCAACTGAATGATATACTCACACTCAGGATGCAAACTAGACAACACCTGCCAAGAGAGAAAATTAAATGAGTGAGTGGTGCATAAAAATGCCTTATTACACAACACTTAAAGATCCATCTTCAGATACTCATGCTCAAAAAAAAAATTACAATCAATTGCAAATGCAGTCCTGACCCACTTTCCAAACACAGAGAGAGCATGTGTTTATGTGCATGGTAAAAAAAAAGATTGAAATTGTAATGGTATTAACAGCACAGAAACGCATTACTTCTGACTGCATTAGCAGAAAGGTGAAATTTCTTCTTTTCAATGGATAGTCGATCTGTGATTTCAAATGATTGTAGCCTCTGTAATGGCTGTTAATGAAGTAGCCCTCGTCAAAAACCATTTCAACATACGTACTGTACGCACAAACACATGCACATATGCATGCATTAATTATGTACATGTAATCACAGCACTGATTCAGAGTGTCTCCAATCAAACACTTCAATGTGAGTTTATGCAGGTTAAAATGTTACTATGATCTCTAGCAGCATTTCAAAGCACTTGCAATCAAAGTCTCACAGGAAACGCTGCCTTTGTGCTGGAAATATTCAGGGAAATTTTATTGTTCAAAAAGGTTCAAGAAACCAGTATTTCAGCGGCTCAAAGTAACAGGTCCAGATATTACAGAAGCAGCAAATATAACAAATATAGATTTTCAATGGCCTTTCATAAACTATTAAACCCCCCAATGCACGGTAAACATGTGGTACCAATAGTTCATAATATTCCATAAATCATTTATAGTAAAGTTGCTGAAATTAAAAGATAACTGATTTTTTCACAACATTTACTCAAAATTCACACACAAAAATCTAAGAAAATATTTCTTAGGAAATGTATTAATCGTTTTATAGCCATATATATGTAAGGGATAATGCACGGCTAGCTGTGCATTAAACGATTTTAATGCACGACGTGGAGGCCAAGAACCCCGGTTGCCTCTGCAGAGTGCATTAAAATCATTTAATGCACAGCTAGCCGTGCATTATCCCGCTTATACCATGGTCATTTGCCAGCAGTGACAAGTTAAAGCTGTTAATGATGCTTGAAGCGCAATATTTGACCGGAAGGGTAAAAATATTTTCGTCAGTTACGGCTCATTAGCTCTAGCATTCTGTCCGCTTCAAATCAGACAGAGAGATGAAGTAGTGCGGTAAGACCACATTTATTTTAGTGAATTCTAGCATTTATGCCGAGTTCACACTGCACGATTTTAGCCCCCGGTTGTTTTTTATGTCAGCAGGTTGAAGCGACCCCAATAAGGTGATATTTAGGCCCTGAAATGTGAATTGTTCCAGGAGAACCCGGCAAAAAAAATGTGTATTTTACCCCCCGAACGCGATTTTTACTGGGGGACCCCTCGAAAGCAATTGGGCTATTTTCAGGCTAGTTTTGAGTACTAATTGGGCGGGCCCAGATAGTCGTTCAGTGTGAAACCAACAGTGATGCGACGTCTTTGAAAATCGTGCAGTGTGAACTCGGCATTATTTGAATTAATTATCGATCATGAGAGAGAGAGATGACAGTTTCTCTCGCTACAAACAATGAACCAATGTTTGAACAATGTTAGTAACTTCAAAACCAGTGATTTTACCCCCTTGTTACTGAGGAATATAATGTAGCTATCCAATATCTAGGCTATTTTATTAATAAAAGTCACAGGGCAGCGTTGTCAACAAGTCTCTGTGCTCCTGAATGTTTCTGTGTGTGCGCAGCGTGATCTGCGATCTGCAACCTCTCTCTCAAGTTCAAGTTGTCTTATTGGCATGACATTTGTATTATAGTATTGCCAAAACATTTTAAGTACATATAAAATACAGAATATAATTACACCACCAAAGTAATAAAGGCTTTCCTTTACAGCTAGAATGAAGCCCCCTGATGCTGAGATCTCAATGCGAGGTTTCTCTCCCAGTCCTTGCATTTAGCTCACAGGGTTTTGTGGCTGTTGGACCATATGTCTTTATGGTAAGCAAGGTGAACATTTGGAATAAGTGCACAGGGTCTAGAAAGTTCTACATTGTTTGCATGGATCACATGAAAAGGCACATCATTCCTTGGCAGTAATGTGGACTGTTATTTTAGCTTCTGGGAAGCGTTCTAAGGCTCTGATGGTCACATCTCTGAGGAGCCACGTTGCCCTTCATTGCTCGTAAGTCATTTGTCCCTGTGTGGACTATGATGTGCTTGTAAACAGGGTGCGAATTACGGGGGGTTTGAGAAGTTTAATATATATTCAGTGGGTACGGAAAGTATTCAGACCCCTTTAAATTTTTCACTCTTTGTTATATTGCAGCCATTTGCTAAAATCATTTAAGTTAATTTTTTTTCCTCATTAATGTACACACAGCACCCCATATTGACAGAAAAACACAGAATTGTTGACATTTTTGCAGATATATATGGGGTGCTGTGTGTACATTAATGAGGAAAAAAAATTAACTTAAATGATTTTAGCAAATGGCTGCAATATAACAAAGAGTGAAAAATTTAAGGGGGTCTGAATACTTTCCGTACCCACTGCATATATATATATATATATATATATATATACATAGACTACTATTAGTGATTTTTTTAAATAAGTCTGATGCTCACCAATGCTACATTTATTGGATTTAAAAAACGTAATATTGTGAAATATTAATACAATTTAAAATAAGTGTTTTCTATTTGAAAGTATTTTAAAATGTAATTTATATCTGTGATGTAAAGCTGAATTTTTAAAATATTATATTATTATCAATGTTGAGAACAGTTGTGCTGTTTCATATTTTTGTGAAAACCATGATATATATTATATATATATTTTTTTTTAGGATACTATGATGAATAGAAAGATCAAAAGAACAGCATTTATTTGAAACAAAACTCTTTTGTAACATTATAAATGTCTTTGCTGTCACTTTTGATCAATTTAATACATTTTGTTGAATAAAAGTATAAATTCTTTAAAAATTCTTTATTAAATCTTTCAAAAACCGACCCCAAACTTGAACAGCAGTGTATTCACATCAATAGTAAGCCAATGACACACACAGCACGAAAATGGCACCATTTCCCGAGAATTACTCCCATATAACATTCACTTTGATACAAGTTTTTGCCAATAACACTCTGAAAAGTTCAAACAATATTATTTTACACAAGAGAAGGTAAAAGTTCAACACTATGCTCTTCACAGGCTGCTCGATAAGGTTGGTTGTAGGTGCTACAGTCTGTCTTTAGAGGTAAATCATCTCCAAAGCGGTCACGTCTCTCTGCAATAGGGGGAGTTTTCATTGAATGAAAAATACAGGTCAGTGGCAGTGTATTGTTCATTAAAAGATTTCTTCAAAAACACTGAGCCGTTCAACACCATAAACAAGTCTACAGAGAAGGCAGTTGTGTGTGTGTTCACTCTGCGTGAGGTTCTGTACTCTCACACAGCAGCTCTATCTCATTCTAATCATCTCATATGCACTGGTTTTTCTCTACGTTTATCTCTTCATCTGCTTCTTTTTAATCCTCAAGCCTTAGAGACGCAGTAAGACTGATATTATCACTTGCCATTTTCAGTCTCTTCAGGAAAAAAATAAAAGCACATTTGGAAAACAGAAGTGGAGGGAAAACTAGAAAAACTATTCAATCAAACAATATTAAATAATGAGAAAGTGGTGTGTTTTTAGAAAAATTCGGCTCCTGCACATTACAACCAGGGTTTTTAGATAACTAAAACATTTTGATCTGACATAAAGCTGAAATAAATTAAAATATAAATATTAGTCTGCTAAATACATTTGTAATGCTAAATGTAAAAGCAAATGAGTTTATCCCTGACAACCTCTGTATAGTCCCATATAGCCACTTGTTTACAACTGCCTTTCTCAAGACAAGCAAAAGCTTTTTAAAAAATCAGCCTTCGTTTGGTCAGTTTACACTTGTCAGGATTTCTGAAGAACATTGCTGTCGCCTTCTCCTGGCATCCATTATCCAAAATCCAAATGAAAATATGCAACACATCCATATCATTACTGTCATCACAATAGGCCTCATTTCTGAACTGGCAGCGTATGGGAAGCAGATGTGACCGGAATATGAACGCAACATGCAAAATCTCATGTTAAGAGTTTTCCTCCCATAGAAAACCATTATTTGAAAAGCAATACATTACACGTAAAGCGGCAAGCGTTAAAGGGATAGTTCACCCAAACATGAAAATTACCCCATGATTTAATCACACTCAAGGCATCCTAGGTGTATATGACTTTTTTTCTTTCAGACGAATCTTGTTATTAAACCTGTTATACTGTATTATGACAGCACTTTTTTAAACTAAATTTCAATATCGTGATAATACTGCATACCGTGATAAAAGCATTAGCAATTAATCGCAACATGAAAATTTGATACCGGCATATACCTACCCACACGTCTCCGAGGGGTAAATAAAGGCATCCTGAAGCGAATCGATGTGTTTTTGTAATCCGATTGGATTCATCTGAAGGAAGAAAGTTATATATACATCTAGGATGCCTTGAGGGTGAGTAAATCATGGAGTAATTTTCATTTTTGGGTGAATTATCCCTTTAATGCGCATGTAATGTATTGCTTCCATATTCTGGGCTATTCTGCTTGTCTGTAAATATGCTTTATTAATAAGGTGTGTACTGAATTTGGACCTTCAGTGTTACTGTTTTAGTAGGCTACATTACATTAAGCGTTTTTCACGTTCCACGGCCACACCCCCGCACTAATGGTACAGCCCACAGCGCAAATTGCAAGAAAAAAATGGAAAAATTTAAAATAGTTTAGATTTCATTGATTCATTTATTATTTAGCAAAAGTAAAATTGAAAGAAAAAACCCCAAAGAAATGGCAATAATTCATTTAAGAAGCAACTGAAAAAAAAATGAAAAAATTAATGTTTGGTTTCATTTATTTTTATTATTGCATTTGCACCATCACCTCTGTAGTTTCACTAAGCTGCCCAAACTCTGCTCTGATAATCCAGACAGAGCTCTGGAACCATTATACGATTTATTCTATTTTTAGAAAGCAAGACTAGAAACATCTCAAAACGCACTGGACTTGAATTGAGTTTGTGAGACAGGAATCCCCTGGGTGCTTTTTGTATAGGTGTTACTTCAAGTTGTTGCTTCAGGGTTACTTTATCCCTGGGGAAAAAAGAAGAATTAGGTTACTATTTGGGTGAAGCTCATGAACGCTGCCTGGGTCATATTTCAACCCAAAATCAAAAGAAATACAATAAATTACATTTTACACTAAGAACATGAAGCCTTTTTTTTTCAGCACTTAGATTTTGAGCATTGTGACACTGTTAATTTATTTCAAATAAAAGAAATAAATGATCTTTTCCACGACATTCTAATTTATTGAGATGCACCTGTATATATATATATGTGTGTGTGTGTGTTAAATTTTTAATTTAAGTAATGTTAAGAAAATTTGGAAGGAAAATGTGCTTACTTGTCATGTAAATAATGTCATGACTAACAATGCAAAATATTCCTTAAACTAGGCTTCTTAATCTGTATGCAGAATAGGTGTTCTTATTATTTAAGTGAAATATGACTGTGACATTTGTTTGTAAGTCATTCATGTAGTATCATGCTGTTTAAACTGATGGAATCAGTATCTTGGAGAGGTGAGGTGTCTTCCATCTACTTGTTTTTCTTTGTGTGTGTGTGTGTGTGTGTATACAGTATGTGTGTGTGTATATGTGTGTGTATATATGTGTGTATATATATGTGTGTGTGTGTGTATATGTATATGTGTGTGTGTGATATTGTTGCTCTTTTGTTAGTTTTGACTGCTTTTATTTTCCTCATTTGTAAGTCGCTTTGGATAAAAGCGTCTGCTAAATGACTAAATGTAAATGTAAATGTAATCTATTGACCGGATATAAGCATGAGCATGAAATCAATCAAACCTCTGAGATCTTCCGCCTAATTTAATCACTACTGACTCTGGGTCTGTAAACTATTTCTAATACATTAGTCAGAGTTGATTTGTAAACAAGCAGCATTATTTAAGGTCTCTCTCCATTCATAAAGTCTCACACCCACTTCATTACACAAAATAAATATTTACGCCTACCTCCATGCTCCACGATCATTTACATCTATTACTGGCAGTTGCTAAAATTGACCCGTATGCTCCGCTGTGTTCAGAGTTGCAATCGGTTTGATTAGTGTAAAAAGGATAGAAGAGAGCGGGTGTTTTGTCACTAATGCTTTTGATTCTCTGGACATGAAATAAAAAGAGAGTGCATTAATGCATTCATGCTGTTACTATGACATCACTCACAATTGAATTCCGTGGATTTCAGAGCTGCACGCTGTGGATATTTTACCCCACATGCTCTTCTGTCTGTGGTTTTATTTCTCTCTTTCTGCTATTAAAGAATGCAATTCAGCAAAACAATTAAATACAATTATGGGCTTTTACTTTATGGTTTTGATCCTGAGCTGCCTAACAACAGCACTTCATAGTATTCAGCCATAATACCACAATGTTTTCACCTAATTAAACACTTATTTTTAATCAAAAATACAGTAAAAACAGTAATATTGTGAAATATTACAATTAAAAATATTTCTATTTCTATTGGAATTTTTTTTTTTTTCTGTGATGTAAAGTTGAATTTTCAGCATCACATGCACTGATTTGCTGCTCAAGAAACATTTCTTATTATTAATGTATCATTGAGATACAATTATAGCTTTTATTATTATTTTTGAATGTTTTATTTTAATATTCTCAATTTAATGTAATTAAAGTTTTAGTAATTTTGTTGTGTTTTTGGCATTTTTAGTAGTTTATATATACTATTATAGTTTGTCCATTTTTATTCTTTTCTTTTTTTCAGTTTTTATTTTAGTTATTTTAGCAAATCAAGTTAAACCAAATTAAAATGGGCAATGTTTTATTCATATAATATTTTATTTAAGTTTCTTTTATTTCAAGAAACGATTTTTATTAACATTTTTTTTTTTGTTAACTATAATAAGCCTGCAGAATAAAAGTATTAATTTATTTATATATAAAAAAACATCCTTTGATGTCACGGAGGTTTAGCACATTCTGATCTGAAAATAATTTTTCTTGATAATATTTCTGCAATCAAGTCATGTGTTTCTTCGATCAGCTGTTTATAATAAAAAAAACTAGCGATTCACAATTCACAAATGAAGCACTCTTGCGATCGGATTGAAACAGATTTGCGAAAAGGTCTGAAATTGTTCAGTTTGATTCATTTGGACAGATCCCTCATGCACTGGATCAAAAAGAGCGAGGATATTCACCTACAATTCATTGTAGAAAACAAAACTTGTAAATGTCTTCTATCATTTGTCAATAATGAAGCAGCTCTTTATTGCACGTGCAGCTTGTGAATGAATTATATCCATTTGTATCAAAATATGGGCACACTTTTTTGTGCCCCAGTACTGATGAAAGGCTAGAAATGACCTGGATATATTTAGAAATATATCTTGAATCTTTAAATTATGAATGCAACAATTAATCTGAAAATGTCACACAGACGGAACCACTGACTCCACTGATGAATTCCAAAGGCCTGAAATGTTAATGTACTTCAGCGAAGAAAATAAAAAAGAAAATGCTTATTTGTACAGGCACTTAGTAAAAAACACCTGCCCCATATCAAATCACCTGTCTCGCTTACAGAGAGCTCTATTATACTGTGCATCCTCCCTGGAGAACATTAATCTCCATTCTACAGGACAGCGCACAGATCCATTAACTGCCCCGTTTCCAAGAAGGGTCCCCCAGTTCAGTTCGCAGATGGCGCTTGTGCCTCCACATTTACTTCATATTGAGGTTTTGCAGTGCATTTGCCAAGGAAATGGGCACACAAGTGCACAACCAAATGCACCAGAGGAAAGTTGAGAGCTCTCTTATTTTTGACAGCCAGAAAGCCTGAGATCATTTCAAAGCCTTCTCCTGGTGACGGCATTCACATACACCTGTATTTCCCAGCTCCTACAGGAGACGTAATGGATAATTCAAAACGAAAAGTCATCGTGAAACACAGATGAGATGACAACCTTTATTGCAAGAAGGTTAAATTAGACATGTGTCCAAAAATAACTGTATCTGACTCGCTCTCCAATCCACAATGACAAAGGAGAATTCAACACTCCACAAAAGAGCGTTTTCTCTTTTCTTAGAAACTGCAAACGGCATACTCTAACCTTGACCTCAGAAGTGTTGCAGTTTCTGTTTTCCATCAATGCTGAGGTTTAGAGTGGCTAAAACACAGAGATGCGGGTGATAGAGGAAGATCATAAGCTGCCACAGGTGGGAAAACAAGGATACATGCTCTGGCTATTACAAATACCTCCAAAACACACTTAACAATGAAACTTTACAAACAGTTCGTATGGAATGTAACAGTGCCTGCCTGCTTTCTCAGCGGTGCTGATTCCAGAAAGTATTTTTTCCATTCATTTTCCCAATAGGTATTTTAAAAAGTCTTCATTAAGGCACTGTAATCTATGAACCAAACCAGCCAGCTATAAGGTGGATCACAATGTTTCAAACTTTTATTTAAAGAGTGATGTGTAAATCGGACAAAAAGACAAAACTGTGCACTTAATGGCTTTAATGAGGGAAAGAACTAATCCCATGGACCATTGCAAATGACATAATCAAATGAAAAACAATGTAGAAATATATAACAATATAATGTCATATGTGGTACTTAATGGGAGTGGGCGGAGCTCAGCGCTCGTTTGGCACGATTTCCTCACTGCAATTCTCTGATTGGTGGAATTTTCTTTACAGCATCAGGGGTAAAGTGATTTTTCACGGGGGATTCCACTGTTAAACATAATTATTTAAAACAAGTTGAAAAATGCAAAGTGATGCCTTCAACAAAAGCATATAGCAGCGATTAACTACCTCAGAGCTCACAGGTCGTCTTTAAAGGTTTACATGTTATCACTAAAAATCAATTTCCCTATAGTGAAAATGAATGGCATTTTTAGTCCTGGAACACTCGGTAACCATCGCATCTGAAATCGCATACTTCCCTACTATACTGTATGCGAAAAACAGTTTGTGAGTTGAGCAGTATGTCTGAATTCATAGTATTCGAAAAACAGTAGGCGAAAGTACCCAGACGACCTATTCTTACACTCGGGTTCTGAAGTGTGCATTCGATGGACACTTTACTATCCCATGAGGCCACCGGAGAGGATTTATGAATGTCAGTGAAGCGACACAACTGACGCAGGTAGGTCATGTGACAGTAACAACATGGCTTATGAAGTATGTCCGAATTTCATATAAATACCTCTATTCATAATATAAGTCTAGAATGTACTTTTTTAAAAGGGGTCATGAACTGCCTTTTTTAAAATTACTTTGTACTGTTCTCTGAGGTCCACTTATAATGTTATCAAGATTTTTACATAAAAAACATTATCATTTAGAAGTAATATGCTATTTTCTGTCCTGTTTTGACCCCCTCATCGGAACGCTCTATTTGAATAGGTGTGGCGGATTGTAGACTCGGAAGTAAACACCCACTGCTATGATTGACTAACAGGTTTGTATGTTTGACAGCCTACATCCTTCATAGATGGATGCTGCTGTGATTTAGTTTAAAAACGCAAAAATACTCAGTACATATAAAATGATCTGTAATAACAGACAAAGCAATGGTGAGCACGTAATACAAACAGTTACTCACACTTGTGTGGTGCGTCGGATCTAATATAGTCGCACAGCATCGTCTTTTAGTTTCAATCTTTCTGAAAATCCTGTGTCGAATTGCGCCTTGTTTGTAAACGAATCCATGGTAAAATGAAGTGAACAAACGACCAAGTTCTGACTGACGCGATCTGGAACTTCATTAAAAATAAAGTTCATCCACTCTTTCTTAATGTTGGGATCAGAAAGAAGGCGATGCAAAGACTGTGTTTGTCCACAGCTTGGTGTTTAGCCACACTATTATGTCATAAAGTGGCACATTCCACAACCTGTCGTTTTGGCAGACTGGCTTCAATATAAGCTGTTTTTAGACTAACAAGAAAGTTTTGAGTTCGGAAACTTGCAGGATGTTTTTATAGTACAATGACCTCTTATATGAAAAAAGTTTAAGGGCATTTTGATTTCTCAGTTCATGACCCTTTTAATGGTCACGAAGTAAATTCAAACTCAAATGTAGTAGCCTACCTTCTCTTCTTGAACGTGCGCAGTAGAAAAGCAAGCATAAGATTTTATTTGGTAATGTAATCAAATTGATTTTAGTTTACCTCGCACTCTTTTACCATTAGAAATGAAGCATTGTGCTGAAATATGTTCAGTTTTTATAAACAGTTAAGCCCCGCCTTCTTTGATTTGATTGGTCATTGACATTGACAATGTTAGACCGCTATTTTTTTTATGCCTGCAATCCCAGCTACTGTTACCCAAAATGTGCATTATATAAATATTTATGTACTGGAAATGATTTTCGTTGCACACTGTTTCGCCTACAATAAATAGTAAGCAGTAGAAAGTATGATATGCATTATGTACAGTAATAACGGGACACCAATTTACCAAATGAGCTTCATTGCAGAGATCCCGTTAATTCACACAATAATTAATTATTATTAAGAAAGTCCGCTGAAAACCCCGCCCTCCAAGGATATTATTGACAACCTGCTGACAGAAAACTCTACATGTAAAATGATTGACAGGCAAAGAGCCTTTTGATTGTCCATGTATTCTAATTGGCTCAAACAGCGCGGGCCACTCTCTCTCTCTCGCTAGTTACAGAGTCTAGTGATAAACAGGTGTGGGGGAAGAAAATCGCCTACTCCACCTTTATTAAAGCAGCGCATCAACGGGTGAGCAAACATGCACGCGGGATATATATTCCATGCAATAATTGGTTAAATGCACATTGATTATGATCATATTCTCACGGAGCCAAAATAATGTTTAGTAAAACAATACAAAGTTAAAATAATACAAGAGACACGGAACACAACGCTCAGTCTTCATTCTAAGCGCGTGGAATAATTTAATTAGCTTGCCAGACCACAAAAACCGATCAAAAGTCTGTAGTTATAAAGATGCTTCTTACACAAAATGTGCACTGCAAAAAGAGCACGCTATTATTTTCAGTGGTGAATAAATAAACGAGGTTGTGCATACTCACAGTTGTAAGAGATGTCAACCACAGGATCCCGCGACACGAGCGCATGTCTCCAGCCGTGTCCACAGCGCGCGCTGACAGCTGTAGTTGGATCAAACGCTTTATAGACTGAATCTGGCCAATCAGAGGAGAGAGAGAGGAGAGAGCGCACATCATTCATAGTACTGTCTTCAAAACCACTGCATCTCTGCTGCAGGCAGCGCATTGCACTTTTTACAGCTCGGTTTATTTTCCTCAAACCAGACAAGAACCTGTTTTTAGTTGCTGCATTGATATTCCTCAAACACTATTTGTTCTAAAACTGTAAAGCTTTGGGTTAAAATTGATTAATGTGTAGACTCAATTGAAAGTTCATGTGCAGATCATTTCATATTTAGGCGTACTACAGTATTTATTTTTATGGAAGCTACTTTTTATCTCGCAACTTTGAGATGTAAACTCAGAATTCTGTGGAAAATTTTCAGAACTGCACTCTAGAAAAAAAGGTTCATTGGGGTTCTATATAGAACCCTAGGGTTCTTTACTCAACTCCAAAGAACCCTTGATGACAAAAAGGTTCTATATAAGCAGAAAGAACCCTTTTTGGCACAAAACTACATTATATTTGTTTGTTGTATTATATTTGTTCAATTTTACTGACACACCTTTCATTCTGAAGAAAATAAATATGTGTATGTCTGCACTTTTTTAAGTTTAAGTTTTAAAATAATTGCCACATGATCCTGTACACTGAAAAAATGGCAACATCCAAATGAACTGGTTTCACTGAAGTCTAAAAAACTTAGTATCACTGAATCAACCTAAATACATTAATTTATAGCAACAAAACTATCAGGTATAGAAATAAGTACGTGTACTAGCAGTGAAGAAAGGTGGTTTACCGTGTTGTCCAGTCCCGAGTGTGCTATTTTGTCAATTTAAGAGGAAAAAAAATTATTAAATAAAAGTGTGAATAAATAAACATGGATTTGTGTTCATTCCTGTAACTGTTGCACTGTTGCAAAATGATAAATTGCTAGTGATAAAGTATATGAGCAGCTTAAGTCTTAAAATTTAATTAAAATAAAACAAAAATTAAATCCATAAAATGATCCCATGATGGGAACCCCTAAAGGGTTCTATATAGATCTTTTTTTCCTGGCTACAAAGAAGGGTTTTGATTGAACCCTTAAAAAAAGGTTCTACAGTATATAAAACCTTTTTCTTGAGTGTGCAAGATACAAACATAATAATAATAATAATAATTCATTACATTTATATAGCGCTTTTCTAGGCACTCAAAGCGCTTTACATTGTCAGGGGGTATCTCCTCATCCACCACCAGTGCTCACAAACATAGAATTGGGAGATAAACACTCTTAATTCTGAGTAAATTGTTACTTTTTTCCACATGGAATAAATATATAGTTAATTGCGACTATATTTCACAATTCTGACTTCTCAGAATTGCGACTTTATATCTTACAATTAGTAAGAACTCAGAATTGCGAGTAAAAGTCTGAACTGTGAGATAAAAAGTCGCAACTACCTTTTTAATTTTTTTATTCCCTATAGCTGAAACTGGCTTCCATCATTTTTTAAAATGTAAATGTACTTTTTAAATACACTTAAATTGTGTACTCCGTATTCTTGCAAAAAAAATTTTTTTGCACAATTAATAGCATTTTTTAATATTAAATGATGTACACTTACTTGAAATGAAAACTTCAATGAATTTCACACTCCCTGAAAACGCAGTTTGATTCTACATGGAGAAGGTCGCGCCCTCATGTTGACATCACATGACCAACAATGTCACGCAAACCACCAAGTTACCAGCAGAAGGTCTATAATGATCTAGTGAGCAACACACCACATACTGTTTCCAGTACAGACTCAATTAGGCCTATTCAGAAAAATGTAAAAAGCCTGTTTATCATCATGTGCAAGTATACAGACAAGAGTATGCTTATGAACAAGCGAAGCAGTTGCACTTAATGTTGAACTGATTCAACTTTATTACATTTAAAGGGTTCTGCGATTTGTAAACATTGCGCTGTGATTGCATAGATTCACAAATATCATCGAATTCAGTTACATTCATGAAATATTCACAATTTCCTGAACAACCCCTTCTAAAAGGTATTTAAAATGCATCAATTTATTTAAAATACCATTTGAAAACTCCTGTAAAACAGCAAGTCCTATTAGGAAAATATTTAAAATTGCACATAGTTCAAAAAGGAGCTTGAGATACAATATAAATATATAAACAGATCTTCTAAAGAGCAGCTGTCTAGTTCAGCTTTGTCACCTGGAAATTTATATGTGAAACTTACACCTGAATAAACGTGTCTTGCATATTTGCTTTTCAAAGTTGTTAAAAATAAACAACAAAAACAAGACAGTTCATTAAATGCACATTTAACAGCCTTAGTGTTCATATTACTAATGTTTGGCGATCTACCAGGATGAAGATTCAGTGATGCATATACAGAAAGGAGGCATTCAAATTGAACATGTCAAAAAATACTACGTATCTGAGCATCAGTAAACCAATTTTATACGATCAAAAAACTGAGCCTTATATTTAGCAAAAATAGACTCTGTGCAGGTGCTAAATGACTACACAGTATATGCCATTTAATTCAATATATTGTATACAAAATAGTGCATGGAGTGGATTAAATAAAAAGTGCCATATTTACCTGTACATATTGTGAATATATAATGCTTTAGATGACACAAGAATAGTGAGATCAATTTTGCTGTCTTACCAGTGACAATTTGACCTAGTTGGTGGGGACTACAAAAAGACAATAAAACTGCTATACTTTTACAGGACTCTGTCATGACACAACATCTTAGCGTTCCGCTTTGAGTTAAAAAAAAACACAGGAGAGTGTTGTAAACGCAGCTTATTGCTTTTGTGAATCATCAAGTTTGAACTTGTATGAAATTCTCCTCATGTTCCTATAAAAAGACCTAATGCAGCATTTCTTTAAAAAAATATGCCAAAATACAGTTAACAAGGGGAAAAAAGTTTTTTTTCCTGTGTACTTGGTAAACTCAGAGCACATACTATCGTGTTGGATAACTGTAGTGGAAGTGTAGTGTGATATCTTTGCAAACTGCAGCCATTTGTGGATATCTCCAAGTCTTGTTTGCAGAAAAAAAATGTCTTAAATTGTATTTTCTGTCATATGCAGCTAGAAATTAAAATGACTTCTCTGAATTGCCATTTTTAAAAGAATAAATCACTCAAAAACTTGCTTAAAATCTACTTGCCCTCAGGTCATCCAAGATGTAGATGAGTTTGTTTCTTCATCAGAACAGATTTGGAGAAATGTAGCATTACATCACTTGCTCACCAATACATCCTCTGCAGTGAATGTCTTGATGATTTGTTTCTTACAAACACGCAGCTTTTCACTTCACAAGACATTAACTGATGGACTGGAGTGGTGTGGATTGCTTGTGGATTATTGTGATGTTTTTATCAGCTGTTTTGACTCTCATTCTGACGGCACCCATTCACTACAGAGGATCTATTGTTGAGCAAGTGATGCAATGCAACATTTTTCGAAATATGTTCTGAGGAAGAAACAAACTCATCTACATATTGGATGGCCTGAGGATGAGTACATATTCAGCACATTTTTAAAACTATTTTTTAAGGCTTAAATTGTGATTGCCTCATATTCTTTGCATATTTACCTGTGTGAGCATCAATTGTCCTGTATCACTGATGCTTTGAATTCATCTGTAGTGTTTGTAAAATCATTTTAAAATACTGAAACCACAAAAAAAAAAGTGTCAAAAGCAAGTACATAATGCTGTAGAAACTGCTTCATAACGCAGGTCACAGTGAATAACCTGAATGCTATCAGCGATAAAACATAACTAATACTATTCTAACCCATAAAACTCTTAAGCAGAAACCCTTGACACACAGGAACAGGTCTGAGATGAATAAGGATAAAAATAAAACAAAGTTCACACACACCACAAAGCCACATTTAAGGGAAGTCGCTTCCATCATAGATGATGGGCTTCTCGATGGTCAGGTGGTAGTTGACCTTCTTGGAGAGAAATCTGTAGAAAAGAAAACACAGGAGAAACAGAGATTGTTTCATTCCATCTTTCCAATTAATAACTACACTGTAAAATATATATATTTTTTTAAAGGTGTAAATAAAACAAAGATTACTGCAGTATGTTTGAAAAGAAAATACTATTTCAGTTTTTCTACTTTACAATATTGTGTTCAGTGTGTTACTTGCCGTTTCTTTGTAATTGTTAGCAGAATTGAGTGAATATTGCTTCTATACCAATCTTTTTTTCAGTGTACTGATATCTTAAAAAGTAATTCTAATTTTAGTGCATAAGCAGCTAATAGCGCTGATATTGTTTCCAATAGTTTGATGTTGCTAAGATAATGGTATGCATAAAGAACTCATATGCTATGATACTGTAAAATATTTTAAAATCAAGTTTTATATTTCTCAGTACTGAATGCAATTTGTATATTTCTCTCAACTGTGTCATCTTTATTTACTGAGCTTGTCACAAAGTGCATGCAATATAGTGCCATGAGTTTAAGACTTTCTGCCTTTTTAAGGCCTTAATTTGTGGATGGGTGAATGAATACTTTTAAGACCCACAGAAAGCCTGTAAAATGCACTGCACGACAAGTCTGCATCATTTGACACTATAGTAAATATCAGCAAAATGCTATCAGTCAAAAGGGTAGATATTTTCTGTGAAGCACAAAAGCTCTGAAAGGTTCTCCGGAGTGTATAAATGTCAGCTGTGTGTTACTGTACCTGGAAAATGAGTTATCAAAGACGAGTGTATAGACTCCAGGATTGCGGACTTTCAGTTGGCCCTGTATGGTCTCTTTATGCGAGTTACAGCGTGTGAGAGGAATCAGAACCTGAACCACAGGGACATAAAATAGATTTAGCACTCTAAGAGGTAAAAGGGCTGCTTTATGGTTATCATTTTAAGGAGTGAGAACAGCTCCCAGAAGATGAAAAGAAGGATGCATTTGAGACACTGCCACACAGAGGGGACCTAACAATGCAAGCTGAGGCAACGTCTGTGATGTTTATGAAGACATGCAGCAGTTTGCATTATCCTAACTGATTATTATTCAACATACAGTTATCATACAAAGTCTAATTTACTGTAAATAACAAAGCGGTCAATGCTGGGTCAAACTTACCAAATTGGGATAAAGCTTAAATAAAGTAATATAAGTATTTGATGAAAACTTCAAAATCTTCCATTTAAAAATAAATAAGTTGAAATGCCAAAATTAAAAAAATTTTAAAAAATAAGTTGAAATATTAAAACTGAAATATAAACATAAAAACAATTAAATTAATAAACAAAAACTAATATAAATGACAAAAGAACATAAAATTACCAAAACTCAAACTAAGATTTTAGTGCAAACTGAAAATATACAAATAAAAGCTCATTTAAAATATTAATAAATACTAAACCGCATATAAAAAATATTAAAACAACACTGACTACAAGTTACCAAACACAAACTACATTAGAGCTACTTAGTCAGGCAGTTTTGCTCTGGCAGATTTTATAATGTAATATTTATTAGTATTTAACTTACATAAAAAAATGAGATCTTAATTAGAATGAAAGCATCTAAAGTGCACACATAAAATAGCACTAAATTTAACTAAAATAATAAAAAAATAATAACCCAGAATTTTCAATAAATTATTTTACAAATTAGCAGGAAACAATGGTATTTGACTAAATATTATTTCGATATAAACAAGACAATGCAAAAGGTTTTAGGTCACTTTGCTTCCTTTTTGAAGCTTAAAAGCCTCATTTTCCATTCCATTGTATGGAAAAAACTTCTTCAGATATTCTCCATATAATTAAAATGTCCTTTCTCACAGAAGGAAGTCAAGGTAAATAATGACAATTATAACATTAGAATATTTCTTCTAATTTATTTATTACTCCCCAACACTAAAAGTGGGGCAATATTTAGAGTTGTGATCTGAGCTCTGAGAAATCAGTTTTTAAGACACAAAGAGATACCTATTACCAAATTATATGAGACTCTGCAGAAATGCATTGCAGTTTTTAAAAAACTATCTACTGAGCATCACACTATAACAAGGCCATTATTTTACAGTGAGCAACTTTAGTGATGGTCAACTCGTGCATGTGCATGTGCGAATGAGTGGTCCGTGGCAACCTTTGCATACCAAACAGGTGTTGAAGGCCATGTATGTGTGTGTTTGTTACCTTGGCCTGCTCAACAGGTGTGTCAAGTGTCTCTCTGTACACCACAGTGAAGGAGATGCTCTTGGGTTCGGAAGAGAAAACCCAGCTGATGATGGGCCCTCGGTCGCCCACAGTGATGGGAATGGCACTATAGCAACTGGACTTGACAAACAGTTCACGGGAACCATCACCGAAATGAAGAATCTCATCTATATCCAGAGGCACAGAGGCACTACAGAAAGACATGCACCCAATCAACAGAAATAATAATTGTGTAGCCGGATGATTGTGTCTGTGTGTGTGTGTGTGTTTTATAGGCATATACTAACGTGAGTTCTCCTGACTTGAGGAGGGTGATTTCTGTATCCTGTATAGTAGGGACCATCTCTTCTTGTTCATCAGGGGTCACGTCACTCGATATGGTACTGTAAAAGACAATAATCACAACCTACCATAAATAGATGGAACATTTTTTGAAGCTAGAATGTTTGGAATGGTTGCCTGGATGTTGCTATGACATTGCTATGAAAAGGGGTTTGAACGCTTGTTAACGGGTTGCTATGTGTTTGCTTGATGGACAAAGTCATAAAGAAAAATCTGCCCTTATGTCTAAACTGTCTAAAAAGACAAATTAAAAATGCAAAATGTAAAAATTTCACTTTTTTTTTTAAAGAACAGTTCACTGAACTATGAAAACATTCTGTATCTTTCAGACCTCAAAACGTCCCAATACAAAAACTAAGCTGCAAAAATTAGTCCTTCTGAATTTGTGCAGCTGTATTATTTTAATTAATACAGAAGAATACATTTGAAATTGAACGCATTAATTCCCAAATTCAAAAATTTGGGGTCGGTAAGATTTCTGAAAGTCTCTTATGCTCACCAAGGCTGCATTTATTTAATCAAAAATACAGTAAAAACAGTAATTGTGTAATAATATTAAAATTTCTATTTGAATATATTTTAAAATCTAATTTATTCCTGTGATGAAAAGCTGAATTTTCAGCTGTTGTACTGCTGAACATTTTTGTGAAAACAGTCATACATTTTTTTTCAGCATTTTTTGATGAATAGAAGGTTCAAAAGAACAGCATTTATTTGAAATAGACATTTTTAGTAACATTATAAATGTCTTCACTGTCACTTTTGATCAATAAAATCCATCCTTGCTGAATAAAATTACTTTCATTAAAAAAATTGAAAAAATCTTAATGACCCTAAACTTTTTAACAGTAGTGTGTGTGGTGTTTCTGGAACTCCTGCTCATTTCAGTGTGAACTTATCAGTTTGTGTCACAATGTAAAGCAGCTTTGCAGAGAGCCTCTTATTGAAGGATGAAGCAGCCAAAATCTCAATTGGGCCCAACAGCAAATCTGCAAGCAAGAACCATTTTTGATTTCAAACGCAAAAATGGTGTATGCATCGAACTCTTAAAGGCACAGAGGCAAAAAATTGGTAATTAACACGCACATATTATGATGTGTTTGATGCAAACAATAAAAGAAAAATACTAAAAAACCACAATGACTCAAAAAATAAATAAAACAGAAATAAAAATCTTTCCATCAAAACGCTCTCCTTTCCCGGGGAGTGCATATAATTACAGAAACCTTGTTCACCCACAGGAAAATGATCTTTTGAGGTTGCTGTAGAATTATATGCCAGGCAGGTGCTCATCTCAGAGTGACAAATGTTAGGAAATGCACGCAAGATGGCATGAAACGCATAAATTGACAGTCATCATCCCCCCTGCAATCAGTCTCCCGGCAGGACTTCCTGTCTGTCTGTAACACTTATTTATGGAAGCATCACAGCACAATTTTCTAAACAGAGGCCTAGTGATGCAGCCTGGGGAATCTTGATAACACTGCTACAAATTGGACCATTCTAAGTGTGATTGTGAGGACATGGGAACGTTTTAGTGCGTCCATTGTCTCTGGTCTTTTCTTTTTTGTGTGTGCAGATTGTGCACACTTCATACAGAAGTGCACAATTCTTTATATGATTTCATTTAATAAATGCGGTTCCTTATTTAGTCCCTTTATGATTCTTTTAAAGTTAAAAGAATGGAAAATGTCTTGCAATAAAAAGATGCCTTTCACATAGCCGTATTGCAATAATAAGTCTAAAAGCATCATTATTTGCAAAAACTACACACCTTAAAGGCAGAGTAAGGGATTTCTGGTAGCCAATGTTGATATTTGAAATCATCAAAACAAACACGCCCCTACCCCAAAAGGGTCTTGCCCCTATTTTGATAGCTCCGCCCCACATATACGTACGCAACCCAGGCAACGATTAGTTCTGTGAAACAAAGCAAAACCAATGTTACACGAGCGGCACGGCGCAACAAATCCCCGACAGAAAACTGCTGCCGGGTTCTATTTATGACCTGCTGACACACATTTCAAATGGTTTTCAACGGTCGTTTGAACGCATCCAGTGTAGGCAGACTTTAGCTGTTGTAGACACGGTGTTACTCACCTATTGAGAAGAAACAAAGCAACCTCGGCGTCCGATCGCAGGCCTCCGCTCCTTGAGTTCTCTCCAGCGATGGAAAGCTGATCCGATATTTACACGGGTCCTACTTCTTGCCTTATCATCCCGCAGACGTTTTCCTATTTTGTTTTTTATCCGCCATCTCTATCTTTCTGTCGCTCGGCTCGGCTAATGTCCGTCCCATGCACTGAAAGCTCTCTCCTCCACATCAAGAGTAGACACGCCCCTTATTGCTGATTGGCAACAAGTTTGTTTTGCGATTCGGCCCGAATCAGTTTTCTAAAGTGTTTTTGAAAAATCACTTACTCTGCCTTTAAGCAGCATATACCATAAAACTGAGCTTTTATTTTTGTTTACTTTCGCCTAAATTCAAATGGCAGAAGCATATCTGAAAACCAGGTTTAAAGTTTAAGATAGATCAGTTCACCAGGTACACTACTGTTTAAAAGTTTGGTGTCTGGAAGATTTTTTTCTCTGTCTCTTATACGTGTTATATTTGTTTGATCAAAAATATAGTAAAAAAAAAAAAAAGTATAATTTTAAATGTTTTATTTTTACATTTTTTATATAGAATTTTCAGCATCATTACTCCAGTCTTCAGTGTCACATGATTCTTCAGAAATCATTCAAATATGCTGATTTGCTGCTCAAGAAACATTTCTGATTATTATCAATGTTGAAAACAGTTGTTCTGCTTTTTTTAAGTGACACCTTTTTTCAGGATTCTTTGATGAATAGAAAGTTCAAAAGAACAGAATGCATTTGAAATAGAAATCTTTTGTAACATTACAGATGTCTTTGAAGTAATTTTTTAATGCATCCTTGCTGAATAAAAGTATTGATTTCTTACAAAAACCTTACTGAACCCAAATTTCTGAACATTAGTGTATTTACAGGTGGTGTTGTCTGGGATTATTTGTGTGTGTGTGTGTGTGTGTGTGTTTAAATCCTTACAGTTCTCCAGTTTGCCTTCCGTCTCCTTCTTCCTCCTGTGACCCGGTGGTGGTGCGCGAGTCGCTGTCATAGGTCTCATTCACTTCCTCCTCTGTTATGATGTCAAATGCCCCATCATCCGGTTTCTCACCAGGATCTGTAACTGCAAGTCAGGACACAGGACGTTATCAGCCTCAATATGACATCGACCCATGAGAAATGTCAAATTAAGAATGCTGCCTTGCTAACTAACTGAAATAAAATAAGTTGAAGTACTAAAATTACTACAACCAAAACTGAAATAAAAATAAATTCAAGCTAAATCGAAATCTTTACAAAAACAAAAACTAATAAAATAAGAAAATGCACAAAAGAAAAATACTTAAACTTTAAAATTAAAATGAAATCTGAAAATATCTCTAAAAGCTCTAAATTCACTGACGTTTTTAAGTATCATTATCCAGGTTTGAATTACTGATGATACATAGATGGCGCTGTCACATGGTACTTTACTCCATCTCAGGATGGAGCAATCACAGACTGCAATGACTGTATATTGATTTTTGAAAATATCTAGAGATTGCTGGGGCTGATTTCTATATGCATGTCAGGTATCGAACCTTGAAATCAATAGGATTTGAAAAGTTATCCTTTCTTTAGTACAAATGTCAAATGTCAGAATTTTGATTGTATCTGGCTTTTTGAACCAACAGACAACTCCTTGAGAAAAACATACAGATATATTTATTAACAAGCAATATTTGCTGTCCAATACATCAATGACAGGACTGCTTGTTACAGTCAAGACAAATTTGTGACATTGCACCTGTCAATTACGATGACAAAGCTAAATTCTGGTCTTTTAGCATTGCCAAGCAGAACAATATATTTAAGCACTTGAAGGTTCTCTCAATATGTGCTGCTGTATTCACACACTCAGAATGAAAAACCCACTCAACGTTGACAGCATTTTTTTTTTTTGAGGTTTAGTTTTGAGGTGCTCTTAAATGAAAAAAGTTTCCTGAATTTAAAACGTAAAGCATAACTACTCAAGTAATTTTACATTCAAGACCTCCTGGGAAGTTCCTACTTGCAAGACAGAAACTATGATATAATAAAGAATAAAATGGACAATTCAAATGTCTCTTTTTTCACTGTCAGGAGGCAGAAAGCTTTTTTAGCACTAATGCAACACAATGAAGAGTAAATGATGCACATTTGGTGTGCAATTTAAGTTTTATCCATCATGAGAAATGCAAGTTAATTGCACAAGTGTGTCTTCATGAATCAGCTAAATGAGTAGTTTTCTGGCTACTCTTCATAAACAAAATGCATACAAACTAAACTACACAGTTAACATGTACATAATTACAACTTTTAAGGTGGCATTCATGTGCAATCAACTCTTAAGCATTATTATGGTCTGTTTTTGGCTGCATCTGTACCTGTAACTCTTGGTGTGGGTATATAGGGTGGTGGTGGTAGACCGGCAGCATTTGCATGAGGCGGTGGTTGATTCTCTGACAAGCTGTTGAGTTCGGCTTTCGTGAATCTTTCCACCACAGCGTTGTGCTGCATGTAGCACTCTCGGCAGCAGCGCTCCTTCTTTGAGTTTTTTGTCATCACAAAATTATTGCTGCAGTTGTAACAGAAGATACGGCCACACAACCTGCCAAGAACACAGTATAACAAAAGTCAGCATATTTGGCACAAAAAAGCATATTTTTAGACCAAACAATGCATCACTAAAATTCTTTATATAAAGTCTGAAATATTGTACTATGATGAACTTTTTTTTAAGTCAATTTAGGTGTCCAAATATTTTTTGTTGAGCTTGATGAAAATTTCAGACTCAGTGTAAATAGCTCTGTAGCAAATTGTTGGCAAATTACTTATCAGGTCTTAAAATATGAATTATATTAAATTTTTACATAATGCAAAAATGTAATCTAATCCATAAGTACTGAAAACAGTTTGCCCAAAATGAAAATTTGCTGGAAATGTACCCTCAGGCCAAGATTTGGAGAAATGTAGCATCACTTGCTCACCAATGGATCCTCTGCAGTGAATGGGTGCTGTCAGAATGAGAGTCCAAACAGCTGATAAAAACATCACAATAATTCACAAGTAATCCACATGACATGAGTCCATCAATTAATGTCTTGTGAAGTGAAAAGATGTGTGTATGTAAGAAACAAATCCATCGTTAAAGCGTTTTAACATTGAACCATCGCTTCTGGACAAAATAAAGCCCATAATAATAAAGATAATAATGCTTCCTTCAGTGAAAAAGTCCAATGCCCTGTTGTCCTTTCACATCAAAATGCACTGACATATTTGTTTAGAACTGTTTTGGATTGTTGTTTTGGTCATTTCTCTCCTGATTCAGTCAGACGAGATGACTTTTTCACTGGACAAGGCGATATTATGATAGAGGATTAATACGTTAAAAAAAACATCTTAATGATGTATTTGTTTCTTACAAACATGCAGCTTTTCACTTCACCAGAGGTTAGTTGATTGACTGGAGTGGTGTGGATTATTGTGATGTTTTTATCAACTGTTTATAGACTCTCATTCTGACGGCACCCATTCACTGCAGAGGATCCATTGGTGAGCAAGTGATGGAATGCTACATTTCTCCAAATCTGTTCTTCCGATGAAGAAACAAACTCATCTACATCTTGGACTGCCTGAGGGTGAATTTTCATTTCTGGGGTGAACTATTCCTTCAATGTACTCAAAGAATTGCAATAAAACCTCAGGATGTGTCTAAAAGACCTGAGGTGAGGATTGACTAAGAATGAATTGCTCTAAGTGATGGTGTTTATTTGCGATTTTTGTCTGCATTGTTTCAGCCAGATTGACTAAAGTCATTATGCAGATCAGGTAGCAAAGCAAACAGCCAAAAATGTGTTATGTTTGCCCAGAAAAAGACAATGATTTAATTTAAATTCCTCCAGTGCTAAACCTGCACATACAGACACAACAAAAAGGATTTGGACACTCAAAACTCACTTAAAAATGTATGAATATTTTGTTGAATAAATGCTTTTCACAATACACACTTTCAAATAAAGTGTAATTTCATTTCAAGAAATATAACCATTTTTTCAGCAAAACTTTCACAACAAAAATATTAGCACTGTGTGCTAAACTAACGTGGTGTGATTGCTAAATCTTTCTTCAAAAAATGTGTACAATACTATGGAAGCCTGTTTCCGCCACTGAATAAAAAAAATTAAAAAAAAGGTAATTGCGACTTTTTATCTCACAATTCTGACTTTTTTTCACAGAATTGTGAGATATAAACTCGCAATTGCGAGTTATAAAGTCAGAATTGCGAGATGTAAAATCAGAATTCTGACTTTTTTTTCTCAGAATTGCGTGATATAAACTCACAATAAAGTCAGAATTGCGAGATATAAAGTCAGAATTCTGACTTTTTTTCACAGAATTGTGAGATATAAACTCGCAATTGCGAGAAAATATCAGTCTTTTTCCCCCCTCAAAATTTGACTTTAACTCGCAATTGCGAGTTTATATATCACAATTCTGAAAAAAGAGTCAGAATTGCGAGTTTTTATCTCGCAATTGTGACTTTATA